CATTATTGGTATGCATGCTTGAGGGAGGCCGATAATTCTTAAACTTGGTTTCATTCAGGAACGACGATACCTCCGAGTTCATGGCGATTTCAGAAATAGGAGTAAAATTCTGTTCAGCCTCTCCAATTCGATCGTTTTCAGTTATTGAAACCTTACTTGATTCGTCTGCAGATGGCACTACAGACGGATCGTTACACACAACTTTAAAATTGCAAATTGCAGACCCCGTTCCATTTCGAGCTTTAAAAACAGTTTCTTGCTGATTATCTACAAAATCAAAACTTTCTGAAGAAAAGTTCGTGAAAAGACTTTCGACATTTTGATCTTCGTCTTTATTCGATAGTGAACCGATTTCTGACATCTCAGATTTTCGTAGTTCTTCTCGCGAAGGAAGACGCGGCCAGGCGTCCTCGTCAACTGACATGGCAGAGAAATCCGAGATCAGATCCGGTGGCAGTGGCCAGTCATCATCATCAAATGACATGGATCTTAAGTACTCATCACTGCATGGAACGGGAGGAAGACTTTCACCTACTGTTTCAGAGATTGAAAGCACAGTCTCAATAACACCAGTTTTCAGATTGGATGTCTCCGATGCCGGACTACAAAATTCTGAAGACGAAGCCAATGTATTTGGTGCATAGCAAGATCTTCCTGTACTCGCGTCACAATTCATGCGTCCATTTTCGTTCTTAAAAAATTGATGCTCTATGAGGGGACGCAAATTTTGCACAACTTCAGTTCCATCCTTATGGGACTGAATTTCAAAACGTTGCTCAGTTGTTTTTCCTTCAAAGAGCGTTGGTGTGGAAACAAAATCTTTATCAATTTCTCGTTCCGTACAGGAAGTTGTTTGCAACAGGTGTTGGGTAGAATTGAGTTTCGGCTGCTGTGGCAGACAATTTTCAGTAGGTGCCTCTACTTGTCTTGAAAAATCGCCTTCGTTTTCCATGTTCGAAGATTCTTGAAACTGAATTTCTTCACTCGCAATTACTTCTTTCGACACTCTTGAATGGAAACGTGACGTTTCCTTAGTCAAATTTGCGTCACCAAAATTACTACAAAAATTCTCACGAATTTCGGTTACTTTAGCAATATCAAAGCTTGGATTAGTGAGAGGGTCGAGGGCACAGCACTGTTGAGCCCATTGCAGTTCGTCTGTAATAGTTTCCGAATCTAATGGTTTCATGGCGATATTTGAACTATTTTCAGTTTCTACTAAAGGTATGCTTGAAAATGTGTCAAAATTAGTTGTTATTTCAGCACTTCGCGAGTCGCTTAAATTTTTTGGAAAATTTGACGCCATTCGATTCAATCTGAAAAACTGTGACGAAACATTATTTTCACCCTCTGAAGTCTTGAGAGTCTCAGAAACTTTACCTAATAGAGAAGATGACTTGACTAATTGAGTCGCTCTATAAGAATTTTCTACCTCATAAGTTGGCTGAACTTCATTCACTTCAGTTAAGATCGGCACACTTTCTTCCGTTTTCGGCGAACTTGGGGATCCACTCCTCTGTCCCGACGAAATAAACTTAATCTTTTCGAGCATGCACACATCACGCATAATTCCGGGGGGTGATGTTACATCAGCTGACTGCATTTCCTTGCTAATTTCAGAGGTGGATTTTATATAAGCGCATGACGCGTCATTTGGCATGAACATCGGTTCTAGCATAAAATTTTGCTCAATGTTCAGCGATTTCCATAATCCAGTAACAGCGGTGTCTTCAGCATTGTAAATACCAAAACCAGCCTGTTGGGCGGCTCTGTCGGATTCCTTACTATATTCAGATGGAAATGCGACTTGCATTGACGACGATTCAGTCCCGACATGTTTAAAAGCTCCTTCGTGGACCAGACCTGATGTTTTAGGTTCACTAGATGCTTCTCCTAGTTGATCTTCTGATCTCATACTAGCTTCAGTGGTTTTAAGTTCACTCTTCGTCTTTCTCGTATCAACAGCGTGAAGAAAAGGATCCACCTTTTCATCACAAGTCTTCTTCTCTGCGTACTTGGAGCGGCAACTATGATTGCACGTGTGGCAAATTCTCGCGTCGTCGACATCAAAAGAAAGAGCTTCGGTAACATACACTTCAAAATCTTGTTTGTCAGGAGGGCTTTCAATATTTAAACTTTCTGCCTGAGTTTTATTTATCTTATTGGGAAAAAAGCCGCGAGTAGGAACATCGGGCTGGTTACATGATCTACTTTCAATTGGTTCACTTGAATTTAAAATAACCCACGAATTTCCAACAAGGCTTTGGGAAGCAAAGGACTGAGAAAGGTAAGTAGGAGAATTAGACTGGGCCATTTCTTTCTGTGCATTAGATGATTCTTCTTTCACCTTCTTGAAATCAAGAAACATGGTATCCGGCGAACAAAGCTCGATATTCTCACAGTCGAATAGTTTCGGATGTTTTGAAAAATTTTCGCGACGAGGGGACAATTCCTCACAAAGGGGACTTAATTCAGCTACAGACAAATTTTGAGCCTCCATAGATTTGATAACATCTTCTGTATAACGAGTCTCGACCGTGTCGGGCAAAGAGAGATTATTTCGGTCTTCAGATGAAAACTGAGCGACCTGATCAATTGGAGTGGCTTTCTCTACACCGGTAAACGCATCTATCGCAGTAGAAATCGGAATTGCTGGCTCGTTATTAACCACAGTAGATTCAGTACTGGAAGCGACATCCGTAGTCGAGGATGGAAATCTGCCCAGCCATTTAACATTGACAACAGAAGATAGAAGAGCATTTTCACGTACTCCACTACAGTCACTAATTTCATTTTCTTGTGCAGTCGTTTGCGTTTCGTATGAAATTCCGGTATCACAATCAAAGTATTCCAAATCTTCAAATGATGTATCGAGATTTTCCGCTCGTGAACTATCAGATTGTTCACTATCAATTTCAGAATTATAGATGATTTGTGATCCACATTCAACATCATCCAATTTACCTTCGTTCACAACTTGTTCTAGATTTGTTTCTTCTGAACTGCCAAAAAACCAAGGAAGAACGGCTTTGAAAACAGTCTGAACTAAAGATGTAGAGATCGCACGAATATCTTTCAATGATAAATGGAATGTCTCAGTTTCATCAGTAAACGGATGACTTGAGAGCAAATTCAAGCCGTCAGCACTCTTTTGTTTCTCATTCATGTAATCTTGTATTAATGGTGTGATAGGTTGAACATGTTTTTCCTCTATGTCCGTGCATTTAGAATCGCCTTTGCTTGACGATAGTTTTGTAGACGCCAACATGTTTACGGTAGCCAAATTTAAAACGCCATTGTTATTCCTAGAACAGTTAGGCGATTGAACACAAACTAAAGGTTGATTAATTGCAGAATCAGAGAGCGAATTGCCCGTTTTATCAATTAGTGAGGTCAATTCAAATTCTTTCCGCACGAGTGCACGGTTTCGATTTGACTGCTCCAGACTGTCGCTCTTCATTTCCATACATAACGGATTTGATTCATGCTGAATGGCTTCAATTTCACAAATTGAAGGCTGCGTATTCAATATCTCGTCTGGATTGCACTGATTACCAAGTTCCACAACTGTGTCTGGAATTTCACTGGCACTCACTATTTCTGAGAATAGATTGTTTGTGGGCTGAAGAATATCTATGGCTGATGAAACGATCTCTCCCGTAAATATGGTTTGCATCGATTTCTCACTACATTTCCAGTTCACTGCACGTTTTGGATGATCATTTGTTTCCAGTTCTTCATTAACTACAGTTTCAAGAAGGTGACTTTCTGAAAGATCCTCGATATACTTATCTGGCATCGTTGAGTCTAGTAAGGTTGTTGTTGCCAATGCTGATGTTCCATCAAATTCTGAACCAATTGCACTACTTACAAAACTCGGACAAGTTGACGCATATTGGGTTCTAGAATTAGGCCAATCTATTTCACTCATATTGGTATCATGCGCATGCGTTGCAATTGGTATAAACTTGTTTGGCTTCTCCTCAAACTGAGGAAATAACGCATCCTGGATTTCTGAACTCTGTTCATAAACAATGTGGCAAGGAGCCGTAAGTGAATTTCGAGAAGTGGACTTGGAACATCGCTTTTCAAGCATCAAGTTCGAATTGTTAAAATCGTAAGCTTCTGTGCTTAAGGACTCAAAATGTTCACAAAACGAAGGACTCTCTCGAAGACGCACTTCAGAGACACTACTACGAGGAGTAGTGAACGAAGCGAAATCATCACAAGCTTTTCCTTTCTTGATCTCAATACTGACCAAAGTTGGGGTTACGGAATTGTCCTTGGCAACGTTGATAAAGCTCATCGAGGTGGATTTTCGAACTGAAGCAGTGGATTTTCGAATATCGTTTTTTCTCACGACAGAGATTGTTGGAATCTCATAAGATACCTCCTGCTGAGATGACGTTGCAATCGAGAGGGGCCTCATTTCCTGATCTATGACTGCAATACATTCAACTTCAGAATACTCAGGCGACACATCGTCTAGCAATTTATGGCAACTGGACGTCATGACATTCGAATTCGAGCAAAGGTTTGCGCACTTATCCTCACATTTTACAGCAAAGCTTACTGGACATCCAGCATTATTGGCTGGCTGGCAGGTAGCTTCACTTGGAATGGGGGAATCTAGAGTCTCAGTGAGATCATTTCCCAGTTCCTTTCTAGCAAGGTTTTCTTCATCACTAAATCGGTTTTGGTGCGGGGCTTCCAACTTCGGTACTACAACAAAACTCTGTTTTGTTCTCAAATTCCCAAGTTTTGCGTTTTTGGTAAATTTTGCATAGTTCTTACTAGTTTTCTCACTGTTGCACATTCTGTCAACAGAATTGTTGAAAATTGGAGTGACACTTTTAGCATCATCGCCCTCAAAAATATCTACCATTTTGTCTTCAGCCGAAGGCAGCAAATTATTTACGACCAGTAAAGCATCAACAAGAAATTTATCGTTAGATGGGAAACCAACTGGAGCTAATGAACCATCGGCAGTTGAGGAATCAATGACATCTGAGGAATCAATGACATCTGAGGAACCAACGACTCCCGAGGAACCAACGACTCCTGAGGAACCAACGACTCCTAAGGAACCAACGACTACTGAGGAACCAACGACTCCTGAAGAACCAACGATTCCTGAGGAATCAACGACTACTGAGGAATCAACAACTTCTAAGGAACCGACGACTCCCGAGGAACCAGCAATTACGGAGGAACCAACGACTCCTGAAGAGCCAACGATTCCTGAGGAACCAACAATTCCTGAGGAACCAACGACTACTGAGGAACCAACGATTTCTAAGAAACCAACCATTTCTGAGGAACCAACGACTCCTGAAGAACCAACGATTCCTGAGGAACCAACGATTCCTGAGTAACCGATTCCTGAGGAACCAATGACTCCTGAAGAAGCAAGGACTGCTGAAAAACCAATGACATCTGAAGAAGTCACGGCAGCAGAAAGATCACCTACAGAGGACTGAATAGAGTTACCACACGACTTCGAAGCGATGAGCGAACCAAACGAAAATGAATCAAGGTCAGTGGTTGATTCAAGTGCAGAGGATTTGAGGGCAGTGAATGATTCAAGGGCAGTAGATGATTCAAGTGCAGCAGATGGTTCAAAGGCAGTAGATGATTCAAGGGCCGGGGATGATTCAACTGGAGTGCATGATTTACGGGCATTGGTTGATTCAAAGGCAGTGGATGATTCAAGTCCAGTGGCTGATTCAAGTGCAGTGAATGATTCAAGGGCAGTGGATGATTCAAGGACAGTGGATGATTCAGAGGCAGTGGATGATTCAAGTGCAGTGGATGATTCAAGGGCAGTGGATGATTCAGGTGCAGTGGATGATTCAAGGGCAGTGGATGATTCAAGGTCAGTGGATGATTCAAGGGCAGTGGATGATTCAAGGGCAGTGGAAGATTCAAGGGCAGTGGATGATTCAACTTCAGCGGATGATTCAAGAGCAGTCGAAGATTCAAGTGCAGCAGATGATTCAAGGGCAGTGGATGATGCAAGCGGAATGGTTGACTCTAAGGCCTCTATTATTTCAAGGGCAGAAAGTGATTCAAGGGCTGTAGATGATTTAAGGAATTCAGATGTTTCAAGGGCGTTAGATGATCCGCAGCCAGTAGATGATTCAAAGGCAGCATGTGATTCTTTGTTGGCAGTTGAATCTTGGTTAGTCGACGAATCGAAGGAAATTAGCGATTTCAGGCCAATATGTAATTCATGAGAAGTAGATGAATCGGGGGCATGAAATGATTTCGGTGTAATAGAGGATTCGAAAGAAACAAAACAATTAAGATCCTCATGCGATTCAGGTGGAGACGATTCAGATTGTGTTCTAAAGACAATAAAGGCTTCAGAGTAAGAACCTGTTTCACAGGCACAAGTTGGATGAAAAGTATTGAATGAAACAAGATCGTCAGCAGGAGAATAGGGGACACTAACTAATTCAGAGGCTAAGGTAGAAACGCCATCGGTTGCAGCAACGTTCCCGGCAGCAATCAAGTCCTCGGCAAGACCCGAGCTCTCGGTAGTAGACAAATCAAAGGATGCAATGAATTTACTAGCAGCAGCACATTCGTTGGCAGCATCCAATTCCCCGACAGCAGTCAATTCAACGGCAGCGGACAAGTCAACAGCCGCAGCCATGTTATCGAAAGCCCCCAAGTCATTGCAAGCAACAAAGTCACCGACAGCAGCCAAGTCACCGACAGCAGCCAAGTCACCGACAGCAGCCAAGTCACCGATTGCCGGCAGCAGCCAAATTGCCGGCAGCAGCCAAATTGCCGGCAGCAGCCAAATTGCCGGCAGCAGCCAAATTGCCGGCAGCAGCCAAATTGCCGACAGCAGCCAAATTGCCGGCAGCAGCCAAATCGCCGGCAGCAGCCAAATTACCGGCAGCAGCCAAATTGCCGGCAGCAGCCAAATCGCCGGCAGCAGCCAAGTCGCCGGTAGCAGCCCAGTCATTAGCAGCAGCCAAGTCATTAGCAGCAGCCAAGTCATTAGCAGGAGCCAATTCACTAGCAGCAGCCGAGTCATCGGCAGCAGCTAATTCAACCGAAGCAGTCAGTTCACTGGCAGCAACCAATTCAACGGCAGAAGTCACTTCAGTGCCAGGCGTCAATTCACTGACACCGCTAACGACCAGTTTCCTGGCAGCAGCCAAATCGTCGGCAGCTGTCAAGTCACCGATTGCAGCCAATTTACTGCGGTCATACAAATCACTGGCCGCAGCAAATTCACTAGCAGTAGCCAATTTACTGTGGACAGATAAATCAATGGCAGCAGTCAAATCACTGACAGCAGCAAAGTCGAAGGCAGAAGCAAAGTCACCGGCAGCATCAAAGTTACCGGAAGCGGCCGAGTTATTTGAGGCAATCGAGCCATCGGCAGAAGCTATGTCAGTGGCACCATATTCAGTAACAGAATTTCTATTATCTGCAGCAGCCAAGTCACCAATTAATTTATTGGCAGCTAATAATGCGCTTTTAGCGGACAATTCACTTGTATCAACCAATTCACATGCAGCAGCCGATTCCATGGCAGCCAACAAGTCACTAGCAATAGTTAAATCTCTGGCCGCAGCAACTTCACTGGCAGCAGCCATGTCACCGACAGATCCCAGTTTGCTGGCAGCAACCAATTTACCGGTAGCAGCCACATCAAAGGCAGTACCCAATTCACCGGTAGCAGCCAATTCACAGGCTGACTCACCGGCAGTAGCTAAGTCGCTTAAGTCGCCGGCATAAACGAAGCCACCGGCAGAAGCAAAGTCATGGACAGCAACAAATTTTCCGGCAGCAGTCAAATTGCCGGCAGCAGATAAGTTACCATCTTCAGCTAATTTGCAAGAATTAGCCAAATCGGCAGGAGCCAATTCGACGGCAGCAGCCAATTTGCGAGCAGCAGCAAATTCGCCGGCAGCAGCCAATTCACAGACAGCAGCCAAATCGCCGGCAATAGCAGAGTCATGGACAGCAGCCAAGCCACTGATTGCTGGAAATTCACTGGCAGCAGCCAAATCACTGACAGATGCAAATTCACTGCGGACAGACAAATCACCGGCAGCAGCAGAGTCACCGATAGCAGCCAAGTCACCGGCATCAGCTAATTTACCCACGTAAGCCAAATCGGCAGCAAACAAGCCACTGCCACCATCCAAGTCTTCGGCAGCAGTCAATTCAACGGAAGCTAATTCACAGGCAGCAATAAATTCACCTGCAGCAGCCAATTCCTTTCGGGCAGCTAATTCACCGACAGCAGCTAATTCATCGGCAGCAGCAAATTCACCGGAAGCGGCAAATTCACTGGAAGCAGTCAATTTACCGTAAACACTCAGTTCACCCGCAGCAACCATTATACTGGCAGAAGCTACTTCGCTACTAGCAGCCAATTTGCTGCCAGCAGCCAAGTCACCGGTAACATACAATTTCCTGGCCGCAATCAATTCATTCGCAGCTGCCCGGTCACTGAAAGCAGCCAATTCACCTGCAGCAGCCGAGTCGCCGCCAGAAGCGTGGTCAACGTCAACAGCAAAGTCACCGACAGCAACAAATTGGCCGGCAGCAGATAAGTCACCATCATCAGATAATTTACACGCATCAGCCAATTCGGCATGAGCCAATTCGACAGCAGCCATTTCACTGGCAGCAGCCAATTCGCGGCCGCCAGCAGCAAATTCGCCAGCAGCAGCCAATTCATGGGCAGCAGTCAGTTCCCTGGTAGCAACCAATTCGCCTACAGCGGCAACTTCAGTGCGAGCAACTGATTCTCCGGCAGCCACTAAGTCACCAGCAACAACCATATCTCTGAACGCAGCCAATTTACTAGCAGCAGCCCAGTCACTGACAGCAGACAATTCACCGACAGCCGAAAGTTCGCCGGCGGCGGCAAAATTGCCGGCAGCGGCAGAGTCGCCGGCAGCGGCAAAGTCGCCGGCGGCGGCAAAATCGCCGGCAGCGGCAAAATCGCCGGCAGCGGCAAAATCACCGGCTGCGACAAAGTCTCCCGTAGATGCAAATTTACCGACGGGAGCCGAGGTGTCGGCAGTAGAAAGATCACCAGCAGCAGCCAAAATACTGATAGGAGCAGATTCTTCGGTAGCAGTTACGACACCGGCAAGGGCCAAATCACCGGCAGGGGCCAAGTCACCGGCATGGGCCAAATCACCGGCAGGAGCCAAGTCACCGGCATGGGCCAAATCACCGGCAGGGGCCAAGTCACCGGCATGGGCCAAACTACCGGCAAGGGCCAAGTCACCGGTGGCCAAGACACCAAGGGTCAAGTCATCCACATAAGCCAGGGCACCGGACGGAGCTAATTCATCAGCAACAGCCAATTCACTGCGAGCAGCCCATTCGGTATAAGTAGCCAACTCAACAGAGGCAGCAAAATCGCCGGCAGCAGCCGACTCACCGAAATCATCTAGTTTAAACGCATTAGCCGATTCGACAGTAGTCGATTCACTTGCAGCAGTCAAGTCATCGGTAGCAGCCAGTAGGCTGGCAGCAGTAAATTCGCCAGAAGCAGACAAGTCAACGGCAGCAGACAAATCACCGGCAGCAGACAAGTCACCGGCAGCAGACAAGTCACCGGCAGCAGACAAGTCACCAGCAGCAGACAAGTCGCCAGCAGCAGACAAGTCGCCAGCAGTAGACAAGTCGCCAGCAGCAGACAAGTCACCAGCAGCAGACAAGGCGCCAGCAGCAGACAAGTCGCCAGCAGCAGATAAGTCGCCGGCAGCAGACAAGTCACCAGCAGCAGACAAGTCGCCGGCAGCAGACAAGTCACCAGCAGCAGACAAGTCACCAGCAGCAGACAAGTCACCAGCAGCAGACAAGGCGCCAGCAGCAGACAAGTCGCCAGCAGCAGACAAGTCGCCGGCAGCAGACAAGTCGCCGGCAGCAGACAAGTCACCAGCAGCGGACAAGTCGCCGGCAGCAGACAAGTCACCAGCTGCACAATCATCAGAAATTACCAAGTCACAAGAAGCTGCCAATTCGGCAGAATCTGCCAAGTCACCAGGAACCGCCAAGTCACCACGAGCCTCAAAGTCACCACGAGCCTCAAAATCACCACGAGCCTCAAAGTCACCACGAGCCTCAAAATCACCACGAGCCTCAAAGTCACCACGACACGTCAAGTCACTAGAAGCTACCACGAAATCAGAAGCAGCCGAGTCACCAGAAGCCGCCAAGTCAATCACCGCCTGATGGATGTAACAATTTCCCGAGGAACTTACCCCTAACGAGCCTTGGACTGCACTCAACAGTTTTCTATCTTCGGAGTCGTTTGTAGAAAATGTAGTTTCTTCAGGTACATGAGCACTTTGTAACAAGCTTGGAATAGAAGCCTGACACTGTATTGTATCTTTCAGAATTGATGACGAAGCAGCGGTATCATACGCGTTAGTTGATTCACGCGTTTTAAACTGTTGAAATGTACCCTCAACGTTTGAATCAGTTCCAATATTAGATGTTCTTACATTCTTGGGAAACTTTCTGAAGGTTGCTTTGCCCGGTGTAGCTCGATGTGATGAAGCGTTCGCCGAGGCAGCAGTAATAGGATTTTCTACATGAGCAGCAGCAGAAAACAAGGTATCCTTTTCTATGGTCCGTTGAGGGCAAATATTGGAACTCAATTCAAAAAACGAAGGGAATGTTGAGGAGCAATTGCTAGATGTATAATTCTCGCCCTGCAAGACATCATCGTCGGGGCACAGAAAATTATCCGTATAAGGAGAACGAATTCTAACAGAGTCAATCATCGGATGAACAATTGGGTCTGTGTTTTCAGCCTTCAGCACCACGATGTTTAATACAACTTTCTTAGCTGGTTTACTTTCAGGAATCTGAGTCATAGAATCATACGCTGAACTTTTAGCCTCATTTTCATCGTCATATTTTGGTGATGCCTCAAACACAGTTGCCAGGTTCGAACAATTGTGAGAAAGAAGGTCGGGTAAAATTCCTTTTGATTGGACGTCCGTGTCGGCAGCAGACGATGATCGGGCATTAACTGGTAATTTTCCGGTATATAGTTGACGTCCAGTACTTCCCGAAGAATCTAGTGGCAGATTATAACTCACATCACCGATATCCGCAATAATTTCTGTCACGGGAGAAATACTCGGAGGCAGGAACGTTATCTGCGGCAAGACATGAGGAAGATCAAAATGAAGAGCTAAGTCGAATGCATCGCTTTCGATTTTTTTCGTAGCCTCTCCAAGGTTTGTTAAATCATCCAACTCAGAAGAAGTGAAACCTGTGTCCAAAATCGAATTTAATAGTTCTGGGAAAGAGGTTACAAGCACTGAACGTGGCATTGCACGTTTCAAACATCGAGATTCGGTTGAAAAATGAAATTCCATTGCTGGAAAAAAATTACACTTTCTTGTTTGAATTTCAGAGGGCCGATTTGACGAGATTAAACATTCAGCATTTGAGAAACCTTCGTGACCAGGGATTGGAGAGAATTCATTTGCAGTAGAATGTAACTCGTAGCAAGGCCATTGTTGAAGCGAATATTTGTGCGTCACTGAAGTCCTAGAAAGAATGCCTTCTTTAAAAGGAATTTTCATACTCAACTTAACTTCATCGTGACGCAATACTTCATCGCACATACTTATAATACTAGCGGTTTCGTCCGTAGCATCGATTACATTATTTTCGTTGCATGACATTTCTTTCATGGAAGTTCCACGAGTAACATCGGGCTCAGATTGAACTTTTTTCTTAACTGTTATTTTTGGAGTAATTATTTGATTTTTAGAAGGAACGTTGCTAAAATCGAATGCAGCTTCAACATAGGACATCGGAGAGCTCACTTTGGACGCTGGCTTGCGACGACTTGATTTATCATACGCTTTCAGTGAAGCGACTGGAACAGACTCTAATTTCTGTAATGGAATGTTCTCTTCGACTAATAACTCGTCCAAATTTTCTTCTGGGATGCTAGAAAGGGAATCAGGCTGTTCAGTTGAATAAAGGTACATGGTTTCCAGAAGAGTGTCTTCAGACGAGCTAATAAGATCATCAATACTTCCAGAACAATTTCCCGCCTCGCTCTCAGAGTCTTTCCAGTCACTAGGGATACAATCCGATCCTTTCCAGTCATCAGCAGTAGCGTCGGAGTCAGACTGTCCACTGCACGTTTGGCTCAGTTCTGACCGACTTCCTTCGCTGCACTCCACTATTGTGTAGAGGAGTCTTCTGCGTAGGTTTGAGTGCAAACTATGGCTATACTCTTCCCTCACAAATTCGTCCATTGACGCGTTTGTAGACCCAGACCCGTTTGGAGAATCTCGATCACTTCCATCAAAAGAATATTCATCTTCGTCGTCGCACTTTATATCAGAGTTGGCGGTCGCAGAATTAGTTGCATTTTGCTTGAGCGAGGGTTCAAGAAAGTCATTACCAAAAAAGTTTGTTTGACTGTGAGCTTCTGGTGAAAGAAGGTACGCGATTAATTTTTCAGACGACTCTTCCAAAATTTGAGTTACATTTTCCAGAAGACTGGCGTTTTCGGGAGACTGAAAGTCAACTCCAGCAGACTGGAGTATCTGTCGACCACTCTCTTCCATTTCTTCTGGCAAAGAAGGCCAAGAAATTTTCCGATTGATGAGTAGGTTATTTAGGTCAGGTGAGTGGACCGCAGAATTTTCAGTCTTGATTATTGTAACCGAGTGATCTTTGGAGGCGACTTCAGTAGGTTTCCTTGGTGATTTTGCTGTCAAATAATCTGTACAAATTTCAGTCTCACTTACGACTGATCCGTCATTGATATCAATCTTCTGCTGTTCGCCGCATTGAGAGTTTTCACTATGTTCACTAGAAGATGAAGACTTCTTGTTTTTCCGTTTCCGTCGCACAGGGCGAGGATTTTCTGAGTCGCTCTCTTCAGATGACGAGGAATCTAAAATTCGGCGCTGGACTCGTTCTCTGCTTAATTTTCGGTTACTGCTTGACGAGGCTTCTTTATGGCTACTGATGGCTTCTGAATATATATTCGCATTGGTTCCTTTGTCGGATGGCAAACTTTTGTAATCTCTACTTTCCAAAGCACTTTCGTCCTTCAGATATGCCGGAAGACTTCGACAGTTTACGACTTCCGTATCTAAGGGTTGACCTTTCCTCGATTCCGGTGTATGAACATCAGTCGGAGAATGAACAGCAACTGTTGCATTAAACACCTCAACATCTTTGTTTGCGCCAAAAGGAACTTTTGAAGACGAACAACTTTTTCCTCTGTGCGAATCAGTGGCTCTACGCCGTAGTATGGAAGTAACGTCTCTGATGAGCGAGTCGTACTTGTCAGCGTCGTCCGAGTCGTTGTCCGAGTGTTCTAGCGAGTCTCGACTAAACCTACCAGGCGAAACAGAGTCCTCGTCGTCGATATCGCATGGCTTTAAACATTCGATGCCGGCAATGATGCCACGCGCGCCATCTAAACTGTCGTCAGAGAATTGTTCCTCGCCAGAAACGTGTCGATATTCGATTGGAAGTAAATAAATTTGGGGAGTTTTATCGTTTTCGTCGAGATCGCCGGCATGTTTGTCATCTTGATTATTGTCTCGTAGAATTTCTTTGCTTGAAGTAGAAAACCTTTGGCTCGATGAAGCTTCTTTGTAGTAAGTGAAGTCGAGGTCATCTAGGTAAGATGGATTGTCATAAATCACTTGGTTGCCGCTTTTCCTATTTTGAGCACGTGTGTCAGCTGGGGTTACAACCGCAGCTGTTGAAGTTATATTTGTATCAGAGTAATTTTTAAATTGATTATGCGCGCTCCGAGAACGCCGGGATTTTAATTCGTGTTGTTTTAATGTCTTTAATGATGGATTTGGATGCTTAAAATACGTACCTGACTGAGATCGATCATCAAGAGTAAGGAGGTTAGATTTTTCCATAGAAGTTATTGGACAAGACGCATTGCTTGACTTAACGTGAGAAAACGAACAGCTTCCAGTCAATTTCAGGGTTTTTTTCTTCCCTGGATATAGTCTTTTCGTTACGTTCTCAATTATCTGCTGGCGAGTTAGTTTTGCATCCAAACTTACGTTACCCGCGCCACCTCTGCTTGGCAAATTAGGTTCACTGCGGTTGCGTCGAAGACCCTTTTCTATTTCAGGCCAAATGTTCTTATTCCAGCGCCGTCGGGGTAAAGAGGGTGAATTAGGACTAGTCAAGGACCCAGAACTGCCAGATGTTTTATCTCGACGCCCGCAAAGTTGACCTTCTACGAAAGCCGGTAAACTCGATCGCCGCGCTTCGCTAGAATTCGTTTTACAACTTAACGAGTCTACATTCAAGAGAGAATTGCTGCTGATGGAAGATTCGAGAGAAGTAAAAGAATCAAAACTCTGGTTGACGTTTTGAGTTAAATCTAATGAGAGGTCATCTGACTCAACATCACGTACGTAAGGCCCTTCGGCAACGAACGTGGTTTTGCCAGGAGTTGCCTCAACAGGACTCGATCTTTCACCTAATGATCCACGCAGATGAACGGTATCTGTACTTGCACTTTCACTGCGCACGCGACACGGTTCTACGCACAACTCCGATTGAACCGCTGCACTGGGGCTAAATATAGCCGACTCGCAGTTACTTTCACACGAAGTATAAACACAACTTGTTAGGCTAGACTCGACATCTTCCTCGTCAGCCGTAAGTTTGTAGTTGTTTTTGTAGGCTTCGGCGTCGTAAAAAGCGCTAGTGACTGCAGATGAACACAAAGATGAGAGTTTCACGCGGTCCAACAAAGATTGGCTCTCCGGGCAGATATTGGTGCTCTTGCAGGAACTCTCTTGGTCGACGCTGCAGCCGGAATCCTTGCTAGCGTGAGCGCTGCCGACATCCAGCGAACAGTTGAATGCACTGCCAAGGCCGCTGCTGACAGAGCGCTCTACTGTCCTGAGGTCCCCGGTATGGCTACAAAAGAAATAACATCCGTATGAAAAGCGAAAACATTACATTATTATGAAAAACTTGAAATTCGAAATTACAAAGAGGTGTATTCTCTCTTTCAAAACAACTTTTATGGACGGAACTTGAAAAGTTTAAAACAGGAATGAGAGGCCATTGGCTGATTGGAAAATGCACACACGAGAATTTGTTCGATGAAAAAATTTCCACAATTAGGGAAATAGCGCTCAAAAAAGACGCATTCATCGAGATCCAGCTGGGCGATAATAGATTGAGATTTTTCAAAAATGTAG